TCGGAGCGCAGCTCGGCGTGGGGCAACGTGGCCTGGCCGCTTCCCCAGGACAGCGGGGCCGGGGAGCTGCAGGCGGCAGTGGAGGCCCTGCGAGGCGGCATCGGGCCGCTCATCCTCTACACCGACTCGGCGATGGTGCACGACGGCTGGGCCTTCGGCGAGCGCTGGTGTCTGGAGTGGGGTCGGCCCTACCGCGAGCTGTGGGCCACCTGTGGGTGTAATTTCGGCAGCTCGTCGAGGACTACGGGGTCACCATGGTACAGGTCTGCAAGGTGAAGGCGCACGCGACGGAGCAGCACGTCCGCGACGGCCTCATCACGGACAGGCAGCGCGCGGGCAACGCCAGGGCGGACAGCCGAGCCAAGGAGGGAGCCGCTCTCCACTGCGTCCCGCAGGCGCGGCTCGACATCGTGGACCTCGCAGAGAGCCTCGCCAAATGTGTTTCCGACTGGCTGGGGGAGGCCATGCAGGAGGGCGACTCGCTGCTGCGGGCGGCCGACGGCTTCGAGGCGCCTGGCCTTGAGGCGATCAGGTGCGCTTGGGCGGGCTGCCGACAGCGCCCAATGGCAGCCTGCGGGGTCGGCGGGCCCAACTGCGCCTTCCGCGCCTGCGACCGCCATGGCACGGCGCTGCTGCTGGGCGAGTCGGTCTGCTGGAGCTGCTGGGTCTGCGCCGCCATGGGCACTCCCGTGCAAAGGGGCCGAGCAGCCGCCCGGAGCAGGGGCTCGGGCGACGGTGCGGGCGCGGCCGGGGCTGTCGCCCTCGCCTTGGCGGCCGCTGCGGCGGCGGCCCGGCCGCGCGGGGCAGCCGGGGGCGATGGCAGAGGCGAGCCCGCCCGCGAGGAGGGACCGCCAGGGCGGGCTGGCCCAGGTGGTGCCCCCGCTGACGAGCCCGCCGCGGCGGAGGAGCCCGCCGCCGCCGCCGAGGCGCCTCCGGCGGTGGCCGCGGCGATGGCGGCCCGCCCGCACGGCGCCGCTGAAGGGGGGGACGGCGACGGCGAGCCCGCCAGCGGTGAGGCGCCGCCGAGGCAGCAGGCGAACGCCGCGCCGTCGGGCGGAGAGCCGGCTGGCGGGGCCGCCTCGCCGGAGGGCCCTGCTGCCGAGGAGCCGCCGCCTGCCCCCGCCTCGCCTGGGCCAGCGCGGCGAGGCCGTGGCCGCGGACACGGCAGGGGCCGAGGTGGCTGTCGCGGGCAGCCTGCCTCAGCCCCTTCCGCGCTCGCGCCAGCCGTGGGGGGCAGCGAGGCGCCGCCAGCGTGGTGGAACGCCGAGCTGCACGACTCGCACGTCCTGATGAGGTGCGGCGGCCACGTCTTCTGCAACGTGTGCGGCGCCAACGCTGGCTCGGCCCGCATCATGGGCCTCGCGCAGGAGTGCCCCGCCCGCCGGGTCCCCGGCTGGCGCGTGGAGGGCCGGCAGGCCGAGGTGCTGAGGCGCCTCCGCCGAGGCCTGCACCCGAGCAAGAGTGGCAGGCTCGGCTCCCCGGTGCGGCTGCAAGCCTGTGGACGGGCGCGGAGACGCTCCCGCGAGGGGCGGGGCGGGGGCGCGGCGGGCCGGGGCTGAGGCTTCGGCGCGGCTGCCGCGGCCGCGGGGCGGCTCCTGTGCAGCGCACGGTGCCCGCTGACGGGGGATCATCATCATCATCATCATCATCATCATCATCATCATCATCATCATCATCATCATCAGCAGCAGCAGCAGCAGCATCAGCATCAGCATCATCATCAACATCATATTCAGTAGCATCAGCATCATCATCATCAGCATCATCAGCCTCGTCATCATCAGCCTCGTCGTCATCATCATCAGCATCAGCATCATCATCATCATCATCATCATCATCATCATCATCATCAGTATCGTCATCGTCGTCGTCGTCATCGTCATCATCCTCATCATCCCTCCTTCCTCTCCTTCTCCTCCTCCTCATCCTCCTCCTGATGGGCTCCTGATGTATTTCTGGGAGTTGGCCTCTGGATGTGAATTCGATGGGTGGCTTCCGAATGCTCTGGATGTCCAGGTGTGTGTCCAGCTTCCTGCTTCCTGGTATGAGGAGCGGTGTGGGCGACGGGTGGACTGAGGCTGGCGAAGTCCCTCCCTGCTTCTCCCCCTCCAGGGTTCTGTGTGGCTCTGCCGGCAGCGCCGCACTCGGCGGCCCCGACAATCACCCACCGCGTGACCTCGCCGCGTCCTCAGCACCCACCGCGTCTGCGGCTTCGGCTTTCGTAGGATCCATGGAGGGCCTGACTGTGAGCTGCGGCCGAGGAGAAATCTCACCGTCGCTGTGGCACTCCGTGCAGCAGTTCTTCGTACTGGTCCGCCGTCGTCCAGGGCATGGGCCACTTCCTCCTCCTCCTCCTCCTCCTCCTCCTCTTTCTCCTGCTCCTGCTCCTCCTCCTCCTCCTCCTCCTCCTCCTCCTCCTCCTCCTCCGCCTCCTCCTCCTCCTCCTCAAGAGTGTGCCATTCTTTGCCCAGGGGGCCCGCGCCACGCGCGCCGCGGCGAGGCTCCCACGGCGAGTCGCCCTACCGCGGCGCCGCACGCGCGCGATCCCCGCAGGAGGCGCCGCTGGCGGCATCGCCGTCGTTGCCCACCAGCCGCCGGTCGTCGTCGTCGTCGTCGTTGTTATCGCCGCCGTCGCCTCGCCATGACACGAAAACGGGTCGGAGGTTGTTCACCCTTTCCAGGCTCGCGGGTCCGTCCCCCAGCGTCGGGACTGTCAAACAGCGACTCGGCATGGTACTGGGGAACGAGAAATGACACAAACATAAAAACTCGGAGGTCCGCGCGGACTTCTCGGATCGGCGCTGGACCCCCCTCCCTGGCGCGCCCAGCGCCCAGCGCGGACCCGAGAAATCCACGCGGACCTCCGAGTTTTGATGCTTATGTCATGATTCGTTGTTCTTTAGGGAGGGCCCCCAGGGTCCAGGGCCCCTTTCCCTCAGGACCCGTTTGTTTCTGCCGGTCGTCGTTGTCGCGGTCGGCGGCGGCGTCGCTGCCGCCGCTCGCCGCCCGTCGCCACCGCCTGCGCCGCCGCCGTAGCCGCCGCCGTCGTTGCCGCCGTCCGTCGTCGCCGCCGTCGTTGCCGCCGTCGTCGTCGTCGATCGTCGTCGTCGGCGGCGTCGTCGTCGGCCTCGTCGTCATCGCACGCCGGTCGCCCAGCCCGATTGAGGATCGATTTTCGAGGATCGAGCTTCGAGAATCGACCGAAGCAAAACAAGCATCCTAAACGTGAGTCGGGCTTGTCCCTCTGCAGGGGGAATATTTGAGAAGACTACAAATATATTATGGTGACGATTCGATCTGTCGTGCTCTATGGACTATGCTTGATTATTCCCAACCCTCCTTGGTTGGGTAGTCATTTTGAATAGAGCACTGCTCGCCCGTCCTTCTCCTCCTCCCGCCTCCCGCTTCCTGTCCTCTCTTCACCGTCGCTGCTACGATCTGCGAAGCTGTCGCCACTTTCGAGGGCTGCTGGTGGGTCCAGCGGAGTGAGGCACCGCGCGGACCTGAGGTAGACCCTCGCCGTCCCTTGGGCAGGGGCGATCTGCGAAACTGTCGCCACTTTCGAGGGCTGATGGTTAAAAAAACATGTTGTCAACATGTTTTTGTTCTCGTCCCCCCTCCCCCACCCCGCCCATCCATCCCCCCACATACGCCACCACAGGCGGCGTGGACGGTTCCTCCCTCTCCCTCTCCCTCCCTCCCCTCCATTTTGGGGCTCGAATCTCTACCAGTCCGCTTCACAGAAATGTGCGCGGCGTCGAGGCGAGAATGCCGTTTCTGAAAAAGTGTGCGCGGCGCCGAGGCGAGAGTGTGATTTTTTTAGAATTGGGGCTCCCAGACCGCCACTTGAGACCCCCCCGTCCTCCTCACCCAGGGTCACTCTTGCGCGCAGTCGATCTCGGCACTGCGGGATGGCTCGAGGCTGGAAAAGCACGCGTTGCGCGAGCGTTCGTGACCCGAGGCTGGCCTCGCCGACGGGGGGGGCCGCATCCGTGGCCGACTTCGGGGCGAAAGGACGTGCCCCGTCCGATGCAGCACCCCTCTGGCTCTTCCAGACGTGCTGCCCCCCGCAGCGCTTGCACACAAAAAGGCCTCGTGGCTCGGTCGCTTCGGCCTCGACCTGCCCTTCCGCGCCCTTTCGCCCGGCGGCCGCCCGTGGGCGCCGCTTTGGCCGCTCGAGCGCCGCTTGGGGCCTCCGCGCCGCCCCGTCGCCGCCCCGCGCACGCGCCCCGCGCCCGCGCCGGGCGCCTCGTGGCCGCCCCGCGCGCGGGGCGCTGCCGAGTTGTCGTTCCACGTCGGGGCCTCGCGGCCGCCCCCGCGCGCTGGCCAGCGGCTTCTGGAGGTGCGAAGGGCTTGCACCACACGGGCTGCGTCTCTCTTCCCTAAGGGCTTGTCGACTTTTCGCCGATCGACTTGTGGGGAGCGAGCCAGACAAATCAAGGTAAATGCAGATAAATCGAGGTAAACCCAGATAAATCCAGGCAAATCGAAACAAATCCTGGTAAATCCAAAGATCTCCGAGGAAAGGTGAAGCAACTCGCGGCCGCTCCAGCGCGAGTCGAAGGACGGCAGAAGTCGTTAAGCCTTTAACGATCTCTCGGTTGCACCTCACCGCGGTGCCACGGCGTGGACCTCTGCGCTGCAAGGACTGCGCTACACAGGTTGCACCACAGTGTGCGCCACCCACACAGCACCACACAGCCTGCACCGCACAAGGCGCACCTCACCCACGGAACCACGTTACCCGATGGTTAGCATCAGTTCGTTTTCACCACGTAGGTTGCATCCTATGCATTGCACCCGAGGGGTTGCACCACGTAGTCTACACGTTGATTGCACCACACGGATTGCGCATCATAGATGACACTTTGCAGATTTTACCTCACAGCTTGCACCACAAATATTCCGTGTCGTATATTGCAGAACACCGGTTGCATCACACAGTTTGTTTCTCTCGTCTAGAATGATATTAGACTACCTTCCCCCCGCCGAGGCCGAATTTAAGCGCCCACCTTTTAGATGTGGTTGTCCATGCTCTTTCCATCGCTGCTGTTCATGTAAAAGACAACAGTACCATGCTCAGGAGGCCGGTCTCGACACCCCGCGCCACTACGGTCAAATAGTACCATGTGGAGAAAAGTGTTGATCTATCAATTTCGTTTCTCAATAACTCCTTTTAAATGATAGTATGCGGGCTACACGCGCGCACGTGTCGAAATCTGTGCAGCCCGCTGCGTATGAATCAGACTCCCAAACAGGTGATCAACATCCATTGTGTCTAAGGACGAACTCAGAAGAGACCGCTGATCCGTCGTCATTTCCATCGTCATCATTACCGTCGTCATCAACCTCAAAATCATCTTCATCACCATCGCCATTGTCGTCATAGCCACCACCGCCATCATCAGCATCTTCAGCATCATCACCGTTATCATGACCATCAGCATTATGAGCATCATCGTCGTCATCGTTGTTATCTCGCTCTTAGCATCAGCGCACGACGCTCACCATCATCGTCGCCGTTCGCAGACGTTGTGGATCAAGCCAGTTAAGTTCAATCACGCCCTGTCGTCTGTGTAACCCAGTGTTCTAGTCTTCGAATCAGATTGGCAGCCATGACGCTCGCGCAGCTCTTTGTGCTGTCCCTGGTCTGTGCAGGTGTGGAATCATCCCGAGTCCAGTCATCTGTCGACGAGTCCCCTTTCGTGTGCCCATCAGAATGCATCGAATGTTGCGATTCTTCATCCTTCTTTGGCCTCTTCGGGCGCAGCTTCAAATGTGTCCTCCGCGACACAGTGGGGGGAATGGACCTCAAGACTCCTGCAGCGAGAGAGTGCAAAGAGCCATCGCAGCGGAATCATAACACGCAGTACAAGGTGCACTGCAAGTACCATGACGGCGAGAGTGACGCACCCGAGACATGTTCTGCCACGCACGTGTGCTGCTGTGGCTCCAACGGCAGCTGGCACGAGGCGCAGTGCCTCGACGGTCCCGGAGAGGACGGCATCGTGCACGCAAGGGCCAATCACACTGGCCAGATGGAGACGTTCCAGATGCGTTCCGAACAGGTTTTTGCAAACGATGGAGCTTGCCGGGCCCCTGGAAACAAGCACCATCCATACGATTCCAAGGTTGTTCCTTTCTCTTCTGGGAGGCCTCAGTCGAAGTCATACCGTGCCACAGGATGTTGTCTTCAGACTGAGACTCGTTCAGTGGAGCACCATTGGACCACTAGACACCCAACGAGAATGGGAAAAGTTACCACGATCAGAACGCAGCACCACAACGAGGTTGTGGAATACACCACCTGTGTGAGGCATGAGAAGCTGCATTATTGTTCCGATGATAATGGTCTCACGTCCAACGGCAAGTTTGTATATGACAGCGTGAGCCGGCCTCAAGAGGGCAAGTGCTATGGAGACGAACAGCCGACCGACGGAAAACAACTCGATGCTATCGAGGCCTACTACGACAGGTGTCCCAAGGGTGTCTTCAAGGGTGATTGGTGCCAGTGCCCAGGAAACTGTGGGAATACGTACCGTGCAAGGTGACTGGGCTGAGCGCCAAGCTCCTTACATGAATGATGGCGTTCGTAGCTTTGCCGACGCAACCGCCTTCTCGATCGGCGGTGAGGCTTCAAAACAAATGAATCGCAAATGTCGTCGTCGCACCAATCGTCGGGATCATCGTCGTCGCAATCGTCGTTGTCCATCGGCGGTCATCATCGTCGTCGCAATCGTCAATGTCGTTGTCACCATCATCACTCGCCCGCCCGAGCCGTGGATCTGCATGATAAGGGTCCTCGCGTCATTGCGCCGTGGGGTTTTGCCAACATGTTGCGGGTGGGCGGGTGGGGTGTTTGTTCGAGCATTGAAGTTGACGACTTCGATAGTTGCAGAATTACTTGCGCTCCCAGCACCACGCCGAGCTCGCATCGAGGTGCAAGAACCCACTGTTTGGGGTCCGCTCTTTCAACTGCTGATTGCAAGCGCGTCGAAGTGCTGAGGACAGGCCAAACACGTCTCGAATTCGGACGCTCTTAATTCGTTGGGCCAACATTGCTGCGCCCGGCGTCGGCAACATACCACGCGCGAATGTCAAGACGCGTCGCGCAAAAACCAAACTTACGTGCTGAGTGTTGCCTCCGCGAGCAAATACCGCCACCATCCCTCGAGTGCGCTTCTGGCAAGAACGTTCAACCGTCACTGCTGGACGCTCGCGCACATACCTCTATCGACCACGCCGCTCGCAACTCCGACGACATGGAGCTCGTGGGTTCTGCGGCCCGGAAGTACTCATCTCGGCCTGTGTTGTCTGTTTCCGTTTGCCTCCCCCCCAGCGGTCCACATCCTCATCACCTTATTTCCCGTCCAGCGATCAACGCCTGCTCTTCACGCCACCTTCCTCTGCTATACCCGGTCTCTCTTGTTTCCCTCCCCCCTCTGGGAAGAGTAGCGAGGCAGGAATGCGTGGCATTGGTCTTAAGTCCCCACGTTCTGGTGCTGGCTCCCAGGTTTCGCCCAACGTTCTGCGCGCGTTGTTTGCGAATAGTGGCCTGCAATGGCGGTGCGCAATTCGTCGGACTACTACTGGCTGCCCTCCTTTCCAGTTGCAGTTTCTTCTGATGTCTGAGAGTTGCGCCCGAGCGCTCCGGGGAGGTCAGGGAAGCCCCCCGCGGCGGTGACGCCCCCTCCCCCCCGGGGCAGGCTGCGCTGCGGTGGCAGCCGCACCCGCAGAGCGCCTCGCTACGGAAGCCCGTTTTGCAGCAGCAGGAAAGCGGCAGCGAGCAGCGCATAGGAGGGACAAAGGATGACGGCTGCGACGACGACGATGGCGTGCCATGGCAGAAGCGGGGCCTGGCGGAAGCGGGTCTTGGACCCTGGGGCCTTCCGTGATAGGCCGGTGTTCCACCACCCATGTCCCAAGTCGGACGGGGGACAGGGGAGGGTGGGACGTCCTCTTTCTCGTCGTCCTCCTCCTCCTCCTCCTCCTCCTCCTCCTGCTCCTGCTCCTCCTCCTCCTCCTCCTCCTCCTCCTCCTCCTCCTCCTCCTCCTCCTCTCTCTCTCTCTCTCTTTCTCTCTCTCTCTCTCTCTCTCTCTCCCTCTCTCCTACAGTACCTATGGCAGCGGTGGTGGAAAAACGGCCCATCCTTCCCCTTGTGCCAGGTCTTCTTCCCGGGCCGTTGTTCGACGGTCCGCTTGGGCCTCAGGAGCGGCCCCAGGAGAAGCCGAGTTTTGCAAGAAAATCTAAAGACCCGTCAAATGGTGCAGGCGAAGAAGCTGACGACAGCGACGAGTATGGCACTAATGTGACTGTGATGGTGATAGCGCCGACACCGGTCATGATAATGACGATGATGATGATGATGATGATGATGATGATGATGATGATGATGATGATGATGATGATGATGATGATGATGATGATGATGAGCAGGAGGATGATGAGGATGAGGATGACAATGACGATGATGATGCTGATGCTGATGCTGATACCGATGCTGATGCTGATGAAGATTATGGTGATGATAACGACGACGGCGACGATGGTGATGATGGTGGTGGTGGTGATTCTCATTAAGGCCATGATTATTCTGAATATGCTGCTAGAGATGATGATGATGATCACCATCATGATGAAGCTCATGATAATGATGATGATGACGACGATGATGATGATGTTGATGTTGATGTTGATGATGATGATGATGATGATGATGATGATGATGATGATGATGATGATGATTATGCGGATGAGTGTGATGCTGATGCTGTTGCTGATGCTGCTGCTGTTTTTGAAGATGATGATGTTACTAGTGGTGGTGATGACGATGATGATGCTGATGATGATGATGATGATGCTGATGATGGTGATGATGATGATGATGATGATGATGATGATGATGATTATGCGGATGAGTGTGATGCTGATGCTGTTGCTGATGCTGCTGCTGTTTTTGAAGATGATGATGTTACTAGTGGTGGTGATGACGATGATGATGCTGATGATGATGATGATGATGCTGATGATGGTGATGATGATGATGATGATGATGATGATGATGATGATTATGCGGATGAGTGTGATGCTGATGCTGTTGCTGATGAGGTTTGGTGGGCGCATTTCTTAGCCAGTCCCTGGAGGCTGCCAGAGGCCGCCCAGCGGTTGCAAGAAGTACCAGCAGAGATAAAAAAATGTGCATCCCCGAGCCTCGATTCTCAATTCCTCGAGCCCGCCTCCCCTTGCCACGATGCCGTCGATTTCTCATCCCTCGAGCCCGCCTCCCTTTCCGCCGACCGTCCCCCCCTCGCCCGGCGGCGGGGCGGTCTTTTGGGACTTGGGACGGTCTGGGGTATCTTGCTGCTGCCGCCCTCCCTCTTCCTCCTTGTGCAGACCTCATCGCCATCCTCGCCCCCCCCCCCTCCCTCCCTCCCCCCCCCCCCCTTCTTTCTCGCCTTCCCCCCCACCCCGTCCACCCGCCTCCCTCCCCCTTCCGTCCCATCCTTCCTCCGTTGCCGGGACTTTTGGTGGCGCGCTTGCGGTGTAAAAACACCCTGGCCCTATTTTTCCTCCTCCTCCTCATCCTCCTCCTCCTCCTCCTCATCCTCCGTTGCCATTTCGGCCCAGGGTCGGGGCAGGCCCCGATGGAGTGCGGCAGCTCTCTCCAGAGGGCAATCTGGGTGCCAGCCCAGGCGGACACTTTCACTTTTCCTGCCGCCTCCTTTTGTGCTTGGCGCCTCCCCCATGGCGGCCGATGGCGATGCGTGCGGTCGGATCCTGGCGGGGCATCAGCGGCCCTGGCAGTCGAATGGGTCGTGTGGAGGAGCAGCTCTCTGGCGGGTGCAGGTCCTCAAGGAGACCGCGTTCGAGCACCACCAGAAGCTCGATGCGATGGAGAAAGAAGATGAACGCAATCTGCCACGGACATGATGAATCAAGCGATGACATACCTACCC